GATGACTCGGGATTACCAACTCCTCTGAGGGTGCCCGCACAGCACGGGACCAGCAGCTCCCCTGGGAGGCTCAGGCGGACACTGGGAATGCTGCCCAGCTCGAGACCTACTCGGTGGTCTTCACGAAGCTGCATGAGTCCTCTCGGCACACATAGAAGCTCTTTCCTTTATTCGGGCCATCGCGCACTCCGGTTTTCAAAAGGCAGAAGGACCCTGAGGAGACAAGGAGGTCACCAACAGTTACGCCACGCTAGCTCAACGGCAGGGGCGAGTACGGTGGGACTTATGCATCCGGCCTCTTACCGTGCTCCGGACACTTGACTCCTTCCATAGCGCTCCTTCTCACGCGCCCGCAAAGCCCAGTCCCCAACCTCCGCTTCCGCCTTTTACTCCGTCCCGCCGCGGTTCGGAGCCAATCACCATTCACCTCTTGTGGCCACACCCCCTCCCATCCCCACAATTCACCGCACGAGACTTCCCCGCGGGCCCTCGCTGTTATCTACCAATCATATAACAAATTCGCTCATCTCCAGCCAATCACAGCCGCCCTCAGGTAGGGCGCGCGCCTAATCAAATACGGAATGAGGGGGCGTGGAGGACCTGACGTTTGCCGGCTGGGGCGTGGCTGAGGCTGGAGAAGCTTTCAGACCACGCTGACTAAGAAATGCAGATCCTAGAAGAAGGAAGAGCGAGACGGAGGCCCAGGCGATTCTAGTCTAGCACTGAGAACAAGAAGCGGCTCTAGAGGGAACACGAGTCCAGCTACTGAAGGCCTGAGCTTCGCAGCCATCTCTGAGTCGGGCCCTTTTGGGCGCCTGGCCTGGACGCTGCCGCTGCGATTGAGTCTTGAGGGGCAGTCACTGTAGGCGGAGCCACTGAATTTAGCGGCGCCTGAGCAGCGGGAGCTGGGTGATGGGGACAGTCCTTTATGGCAGGCGCGGTGAATTGTAAAGTCTGTAATAACGCAGGCAGAAAAATTTCTCTGGGACCCACAACAGTCCTTTAAATTTGCTTAGCGCTTAAGATTTCAGAAAGTGCTTGCACATAAAAGTCTCTTCATTCAACAACCTGCTGAGATGGGCAGTATCTAATGGACTATCCCCCAAAGCTCACCCAAGTTCAAAGAGTCATTGCGTGGGTGGTGTATGGACAGGTGCACGGGTCTGCATTCCAGGGCTAGAATCCTTTCGACCACGCAGCTGGCTTTTCTTTCTTCTTCTTCTTTTTTTTTTTTCTTTTCGTTTTCCCGTGTGGGAATCAAATCCAGGGCCTTGAACGTGCTAGGCAAGCACTAAGCCACAGCCTTCTGCCTAGTTGGTCCCAAGGCCCTCTTAGTGTGAAAGCACTGTTTAAGTGGCAAAGTGGAAACCAAAGGAGGGCAGTGTTTAAATTTAGCGAAGGCAGAATTTACTTTGTATGTTTTATGTTATCACACCTTTTCTACTAGTGTGCTGTTTTTTTAAAAATTTCTTACTTATAGGTGGACACAACATCTTTATTTTACTCTATGTGGTGCTGAGGATCAAACCCAGTGCCTCACGTATGCTAGGCGAGCGCTCTGCCTTCTGAGCCCCAGTCCCAGCCACTATTAGTGTGCTTTTGTAATTTGAAAAAAAAACAAATGTTGAAGGAAACAAAGGGGAGTGTATTTGAAATTGTTATCAGTTCTATTAGTCAACAGAAATGGAGGAATAGACATAGGAAAAATTTGTTGCAATCGAGATGGCTTCATATTACAGCAATTGAGGGCCATATGTCTTAGGCATATGGAGTGGCACATGCAACTGTTACAGGGACAGGAGGATGGAAAATCTGTAATGTCTAGGAAATCTGGGCTATATGACAAATGTAAATGTTATGGGGAGTCTAGAAGACAAATCTGTGGTATCATTTATTAATTTAACAGTACTTACTAAGTACATTTTTGTGTGTCCAATGTGTAGTGGTACTTGGGAAATACAAAATTCATATATTCACATTCACACAAAGTTTAAAACAAATATTATAAAGACAAGGAGCTTACTGAATAGAGGAGACTGAACTGGCACATATTGAAAACTTAAATAGCAATATGAAATAATATTTAAATGTCAAGATGAATGGAATTAGCAGTAAACTCCGGAGGGCTAGAGAAAGAAATGTCTGGAATTTCCAAAGTGAAGTTAGTTTTTCTGTGAAACACCAACTCTTGAGATAAGAGAGATGAAACAAACAAACAAGTGGAGGCATTATCATTATTCCCAGTTATAATTCTTGTAATTTAGAGATTTTTATGTACATGTTTAATAGGCGATATATATGGGAACATAAATACTGGATTTGTAGGAGGAGGGGCATGGTAATTGATTTTCTTGAATAATATTTTTTGAAACAAGACAAAATCAAATCTTCAAATATCACATTTAAAAAGAAGTTTCTCATGAATTTCAGTGGTGCAGGCCTATAATTCTAGTGACTAGGGAAGCTGTGGCAAAAGAATCACAAGTTCAAAGCCCCTGTCTCAAAATAAAAAGGACTAGGGATATAGCTCAATGATTAAGCACCCCTTGGTTCAATCCCCAGTACCAAAACAAAACAAAAATGAAGAAGATTTTCCTCTACAAGCAGATATCTCAGGTTCAAGCCCACAAAAGGGTACACAACAAATTACAGAAAAGGGGAATATTTCTTCCTTAAATTGGGGATGTGCTAGTTCAAATTTCATCCCTGGACAGCTTAGCTCACCTAGGCATATTTAAAAGCGTGGAAAAAAAATACCTTGGACATTGGATGAAAGATGATCAAAATTAAAGATATTTTTAATTAATTTTTATGCCTCATGGAAAAAACTGATGTATACAATATACATTTTTTAGTATACATGAGCATATTTGTATTATTGCCTCTTAATTTGTAAATATATTTTATGTTTATATTCATAGTCTATAGAAAACTGGAGAAACTTTGGAGAATGTGCTTTGTGGGCCTCTTAATTTTGAGTCGAGAATTTGTTTTTCCTGAAAACTTGATTTATTCAAAGTAAATTCTTAGGCTTGGTCTTAGATCTAGTTGGTTTAAATGCAAGGTTAATAATTTAACAAATTCTTTCATTTTGGGACTGATCAAAGAATATATTGAAATTCTTCTAAAACTTAAATACTAATGGCTACACTAAAACTCAGAATTGTATACTTCAAATAGATATTTTTTGTTTTTCTGGTACACTTGGGATTTAATCTAGGGGTGCTCTACCACTGAGCTATATACCCAGTCCTTTTTATTTTTTATCTTGAGACAGATTTTTGCTAAGTTACCCTGGCTAGTCTTGAAGTTGTAATCCTTCTGTCTCAACATCGCATGCTCCGCCACACCAGTCCACACAGGTGAATTTGGTGCCATCAAAATGATACCTCAATAAAACAGTTTTTAAGAATGTGTAAGCAATGCCAAAACATTTACATAGAAAGTGAAAACTAAAATTATTAATCTAAACATGTTAACACTCGAAGGAAATATCCTAAAGGGTGAAGAAATAAAATAGTAAAAACCCTTTAATTTCAGATGGTGTTGATGGTTAAGCATGCTAGTTCTCTGAGCTGTGGAATGAATGACAGGGTGGTCCAAACAAACACTCAGTTTAATTCTTAGGGAATTGCATTTTCTCAGGTAAGCATTGTGCTGACTGCCATCTATTAAATTTATCAGACTTCCTAAGATATAGTGGTGAAAAGATCATCTGTAACAGTCACCTCTTGACATCCCTGTAACTATTTTAAAATGATCAGCAATTCCAGGTTTTAAATTATTCATAAAAATTCAGCCGCTATGCAATTTTTGTTCATTATTTTGAAAACTGAATTGTTTAAATGTATTTTCCCAATCAGCGACAATTCTAAGAATCATTTGGATTGGTGGTGCTAGGGATCAAACCCAGGACTTTGCACCTGCTAGGTAAGTACTATACCACTAAGGTATACCCCCATCCCAACATTTTGTTTTCTGAACATCTGGGGTTTTTGATTGTTGCTTTCAAGTGAGGTAAGGAGGAATAACTAATTTCAACTGGCAGATAAAGGTTTTTTTTTTTTTTTTTTAACCTGAGTTATAACCCAAGAGGGAGCATTCTCACATCCTAACTATTCCTGAGGTATGTTCTAAGTTCATTTACATATATTGCTACATTCTGTGCTTACGATTACCCTACCAGTGATCATTCTTTTATCCTCATTTTAAGGATTAGGGTACTACACTGAAGTTTAGAACAGCTAAGGAGCTTGCCCCAAGACCATGCGCCTGATCACTCCTGTGCAGCTCCTCTCCTAGAACTTTGGAGCCAGATAGGGCCCATAGATTAATTTTGTCCTGACTCATAGTCACAAAGTTTACACCAGCAGATTAGGGACTGTAATACATATTTTAAGATTCCCAATCCAGTTCTTGCTACTGTAGTATTTTTATAAAGCATCAATTGTTCAGTGATTCATTCTGATATTGAACCTACATCTCCAAGCATTTAGGTGTTTGTTGTGATAACCATACATTACTCAACAAATCCAAGACTAAAGGAAAAAAAACAACAAAAGTCCTGCCATTTTATAAATGATCACTAGGTAGCAGCATATTAACACAAAAACCACAGAGATGGCCCATCCTCTTCAGTTTCATTCCTTTTGCTTACAGATACATAATGATACTTCAATCTCATCTCATTTTGTGCTTTTCAAATATATGACTATTTTTAACTTGTTCTTTGATATAAGCATAGGATGATAGAGTGAGTACAAATCTGCTTATAATCTGAAAAGTCAAGAGACTGTCTATTTCACAGTATTAAATTTTACCGTTCTTAAAATGTTATATCAAAGACAGTTCAAAGCAAGTACATCTTCTTTTAAAATAAGTGCAATTCATTGTGTGTATGTTTGTTTTTCACTGTGTTGAACAACAATTGAGTTTTAGAGCATTGCCATCACCCCCCAAATTTCCTCAAACTGTGTGTCGTCAATCTACACTACCACCCCTGTCCTCAAGGCAACCACTGATCTTTCTGTCTTTGTAAGTTTGCTTTCTGGATATTTTATAAAAATGGAGTCATAGTAACATCTAGTCAGTTGTTGCTTCTGTCTCTTACATCTAGCATAATGCTTTTTTTAAAAAAAAATTGGTGTAGATAGACACAATACCTTTATTTTATTTATTTATGTGGTGCTGAGGATCAAAACCAGTGCTCCAGGCATGTGAGGTAAGCGTTCTGCCACTAGGCCACAACCTTTGTGGTTCATCCATGTTGTAGCAGGTATCAGTATTTACTCCTTTTTATTGTTGAATAGTATTTGCCAGTTGATAGATATTTGGGTTGTTTTCACTTTGGTATTATGAAATATGTTTTTTAATCAACATTAACATCCAAGTCTTTATGTGGATTTTTTTCTGTCATTCCTCTTGGATAAATACATCAGTAGAATTATTGGATCA